GCCGCCGCCTCGCCGCCCGCCTCGCGCCGCGCCCGCAGCAGCTCCCCGGGCTGCGGCCGCCGCTCCGCCACCGCCACCGCCACCGCCTGCGGGGGACAGCAAACACCCCTGACACCCGGCTCCCGGCTCCAGCTCAGCGGGGAGCCGAAAGGCTGCTTGTTCTTCCTGCTGCTTTGCTGTCAGGTGGGGAGTGTGGGATTTGTGGGATTGTGTTTGGCTCCAGCTTCTGTGCTGTGTACAGAAGTATGGGAAAATGCTGCTGGGTCTTTCTGGGACCCAGCTCCTTGGTTGCACCTTTCTGTATTCTCCTCAGGAGGCCGAAATGTGCTCTTTTCCAAGCTCTACTGAATAGGATATGCCTCTGAGACAGCTCAGATTTATTTTATTATTGCATCACATCTTGGGCAACCAGTCAAACTTACGTGAATTACAAATACTGTTTCCTTATGGTCTCTCCTATCTTTTAAACTTACCTACATATTTTACCTGATAAATGACCACAGAGAATACGAGGCAGAGAGGCGTTGTGCTCCTAGAGATTAATTTCACAAACGTTAGCTCACACGGACAAAACTCACTGACACCTGCAGCTTTGGGCATCACCCCCACCCCCCCATCTCCAACAGTCCCTGAAAACAAGCATGAACAAAATCAAGTATTTTCTAATCAATTATGACTAAGCCACAGAACTCACTGTCCTGCCACAGGCAACTGGGGATGCCAGAGCTAATGTGAGTTTGGACAAACAGGGATACACCTCAAAGAAGTGGATTCGTCAGGACTGTTCTCCAGGATGGTCTGGAAAGAGTTTTCTCAAGAAGATCAAAGTTCCAACGGCAGGGACAGAGTGTTTCATACTTTGTTGGGTTTTTTTTTTATTCTTCCCTAAGGACTTGCTGCTGTCATACAGAGAACCACTTAAACAGGGTGACGATCCAAACCAGCAAGGAAACAAGACGTGGCAACTATTCAGGCTATTTCCTATTAGACTTACTTATGTTGGAAGGCCACGAGAAAAGCAGTTAGTTACATCTAGCTGATGACTGGCAGCTCCTGTCTACCTGTTTTAGATATGAATATAGTCATTTTGCCTCAAGACTGAGACCAAAAACTGGCCAGCTCACTATTGACATAGAAAAAGCCATAATTCTGTCTATTGCTCTGCCTTCTAACACACACTAAAGATAAAAAAAAAGACCCCATTCAAGCATGTACCCTCATGCCAAATTGTCCATTTCCTCTAATTAAGTTTTAATTCAATTTGCCATAAATCTGCAATGTTCTCTGTATATGATTTTTTACACAGACATACAACATATGCAAATCCATGTTTTCCAAAACAGGAAAGAAGAAAAATCCCAACCTAACCACTTTTAATTCTTTTGTCTTCATGTACCCTCAGGAGTCTGGACAAGCCTACATTACCTAAATCCTACTGACTAGTAGGATGAGGAGCAGAAACTGCCCAACAACAGGAAAAAATACTTCTGGAAAAGGCAGGTAAGGCAACCAAAGCCTAATCCAAGGCTGGACAGGGATTTCCCCCTATTTCTGTGGAATTTTGACACACAGCCTAACACGCTCCATGTGCTGTAAACTACTTAAAAGACATGCCCAGTTAGAGGGACTACTGGTGTCCTTGAAGACAAGCACATGCTAAAGGAGGCTGCAGCTGGCTCCCAGCTCCACTGATCACAAATTTGGAGCTGCCAACAGGGCTGAGCCTCAGCACTGCTGCGATGTTTCAGAACGAGGGTGATGCTGGTTGTGAGAGGCCTCCTGTTGCTGCTTAAGCTGTTGGCATTGGCTCCCTCCCTGCTGCCCCTGGAGCAGCTCCAGCACCTCCCCATCCTTCTGCAGCAGCTCCTTCAGGCTGCAGGCTTCTGTGTCCACACAAACCTTACAAGCTGCTCACCAGGGCAGCACCCCCTTCACCACGGGGGCACCAGAGGAGACTCTCATCTTCAGGACCAAGCTGAGGAGGCTGTGGCTGGCAGGGGTCTCTAATGACAGCCCTTGGAGTCTGCCTCGTGTGAACTGAGCTCTTCCAGCTTTCAAGGAATGCCACAAAGCTCAGCTTTTCCCACCATCTCTGGAAAAATGTCCAGTGCTCTTGGTCACACTTAGTCTTTGCTGGTGTGTGACAGAAAATGTCATCAACCTTCTGCTACTGAGACACCTGCAGTCACTTATTTTGCACTGTCATGGAAAGAGCATTTTTGGTAAGTAGGATGCTGGCTGCAGTCACCTCTAATCCTGAAAGTGGCTTATTTGATCAGTGTAAACCACCATGGACTTGAAACTTAACTTTCTGCCTACGTGTTGCACAGGATGAAATACATTTGGGGAAAAGAAGAGGATTTTTGTCTTGATTAATAGCAAGAATTATTTAGGCACGTTGTCTATGTTTTCAAGATTCCTTGTTACATATGATATCAGTAATGCCAAAACACCTTCAAGCAGCAGAACCTGTATAAATAAGTTACAGTGTCATTTTCCATTACAGCTGGATACAACAGTGCAATCTCTGTAGCATATTTTCAGCAGCATTTTTTTTTTGGCAGCATTTGGTTGTAGCACATTTTGGGAGTTCCTTATCTACTAATTCAAGATTTTACAGTGACTTTGGCTACCTCAGCCATTACTGTAATATGTAAAGACTTATCTAGGTCAGGAAACTAAACCTGCTGTAGCTTGGTTTTGATCTAAAGTGGAGCTGACATTTCTCTAGGGTACCTAGGGTAAAGCAGAAGGATCAACTGGGAGTCACTTTTCTTTTCTAGACATACCAGGAAATTTAAATCTGTGCAAATGGCAGAGTCAGCCAAACTATGCAGAATTAGCAAACTGCTCTCTAAAAACCTACTGATTTTAGAACCTCTAAATCCTTTGACTGACCCAGTCTGTTTGCAGGACACTAACTCCGAAATCACAGCCCAGCAAACTCTATTTTTCTGGACTTTGCCATGCACATGAGAGCACTGAGGCCTGGCATACCCACTGCTGGAATTAGCTGTGTTCAGAGGGAAGGGGCACAGAGGACACAGGATGGTCACAGAGAAACTCTTCCAACCATCCTGATCCTGGACTTAAAATCCTACTTCCAACCAACAACCATCCAGAAAAGGTGACAATTAAATATCTGGCTTTGGATAAAACTTTGAAAGTTAGAGTCTGAATAACAATGTGTTATTGTTAGTGGAGAAAATTCCAGATTTGTAGAGTTATTTTGATGGTCTAATGCTGAGCTGATTTTTAATGTGGCAGCTCTGGCATGCACAGGGGTATTTTCTACTTTCTTGCAAAGTAGACAGGTACTGGTGTCCCGACAGTTCTACCCAAGGGACTTTGGGGCTAGAAGAAGAAGGGAAGGGAAAGATCTACTGCCACTGGAAATAACTCTTAATAGGGCAATAGGAACTGCAAATGTAATATTGGTGAAACACTCAGCTAAAAGTAAAAAGGTGCTTCCTCCTTTCTGTCACCCTTCCACAGTCATTATCATGCTTTTGGGATGAGTTCTTGTATGTGATGGAAGTTACCCCCCACAGTCAGTAATTTGAATGTTAAATCACTTAATGCTACACTGCTTGAGTATTTCTGCTGTGAAAAAAAAGGTCTGGCAGATGTCCACGTTGGTTGCTATTTTTGTCCTCGCTGAGGATTAAAGTTGTGCATCCATTGCAATCACCAGAGCAGAAGATTTTATGTTAGCTGAGGTATTTCTACAGCTCTGACTGCAGGTGCAGATGTAAAAGTGAAAAATAAACAATCATTCTGCGACTTTTCTGTGGGTCTAGAAATTGGCAATCACAGCTTCCCCACAGGCACGTCTATTCCAGTATGTGCAATTTACTTCAGTGCTTGCTTACGAGCTGTAAGCAGCTGCATCCACTGAAGAAGGGGAATGTCTAAGAGTTGACTGTGCTCAGTCAAACACTTTGGTTTGAGAGCCATCCTTGTTTTTGTAGCTGGAGCTGCAGCCCATTCCTCAGGCTTGGTGTTCCCACTGCTAATATGATGCTGCCTGCATCATGACTAAGAGCCAATCAAAGGACATCCTTAATTGGGGTCAGGAAAGCCCCAAAGGAAAAAAAACCACCCCAATCCTCTTAAAATATAGCAACAAAACAGGGACTTTCTTATCTTATTTTCTTAGGCTTTTATGAGTACAGTGCTGCCACAGCAGCTGATCCAATCCAAATTAAATATCTGAGGCTTCCATTTAGTAGAAACAACTATCTACTGAGATTTGGAGCTAGATATCAGACATAGAATTTCCTTTTATTTTTATGTAAGTCAGCTGAAATTTTTCAGCTGAATAGTCCTATGAGAAATATTGTCAAAAAAAAAAAAAAAAAAAAGGTAGATTATCTGAGTATTTTGTTTCGTCAAGTCAGAATACTTCACTTTTGGTTTGGACTTTTCTGCTGTTTTTATATTGCATGGAAAACAAAATATACCAAAGGTTTCACAAATAAAAGTGGGGCATCTCAAAATGGCTTATTTTGAGTAACACTCCAGCAGTCTGATTCATCTTTCTTTTGGAATGAAGAGTAATTTTGAAATCTCAGCCTGAGTTATGGGACAAAATCAACCAAGCCACGACTGTCACAATTTGGGAAAATATACACATGCAGATTTTCTACCCCAAAAATGACAGACATGTTACTGACTCTTCCTGGGGACCACTTCAGGTGTCCTGTGATGTATTGGGATCCTGTGATCTGCTTTAGTAACCAGAAGAGAGGGTGGCAGTGAATGTGATGAGGTTTTTTTTTCCAGTGCACAGGTAAGTGTGGTGAGCAGGAGGACCTACAGTTCTGTGGGGAGATCAGGGAATCAGGAATATAAAGAAAAGGCTCTTGGAAAATAAGGATGGATCTGGGAAGCAGGAAAGGGGATGGAAAAACGGAAGGCCATGGAGCAAAGTACTTCAGCAAAGTGCTAGACAAGAGACAGGTCTGTGGTGAAAAGAAATGCTTTGGCAGAAGAGTCTCAAACTTGTAAGAAGTGCTCTGATGTGCAGAAGAGACTGTCAATCCTGCACATCAGCTGAAAGGATTGTGCAAGGGGTTGTGAATGGGTCAAGTGGATTTCAGGAGAGAAAACTGTCTCTGAGGACAAGAAACCTCACACCCATGTATGAAAGCAGCTGAACTTGCAAGACATTTACTCAGAGCATGAAGAATGTTCAGTTATTTTAGTCTGGGGGGTTCCTCTGTGCCCTCTGCACCGAGGCTGAGGCAAAGGCAGGCAAGCACTACTGGGACCAGGGGACAAACATGATTATTATTATTACTTGATTAACACTGATATGATTTATTATTTGGTGTGATTTGCTTACTTTTCATTCCTGCATGTCTCTGGACTTACTGTGAAGACTCTATGGACAGTATTGAAGTCTTCTGATTTCCTCAGAAGGCCAGTGTTGGTAAGCCACTATGTTCATTTTGACTGGCTCTGCATGGCAAGGCCTTTTTGTTTGCTTTTTTGTTTGTTTGTTTGTTTTTGTGTGGTTTTTTTTGTTTGTTTGTTTCAAAACACTTACGTAAATAAACTGCTGCTTTACAGAAATTCCCCTTCTGTTTCCCACCCCACTCCCTGCATCAGACACGGATGCACTTCTTTACCCTGCTTCCCATTGACCCACAGCACTTTTGAGGGTATGCATAGCCAAGTAGAATGTGAAAAAAACCCCAAAAAACAGGGAGAGGAAAGGAGATTTTTCTTACACTCTTTGCCAGGATGTGTTGCGTAGCTTTGGCTCGTCTTCGGGCAGGACTGCATGCTGCAAAGAGAAGAACAGGAGCATGGTCAGGATGCTGTGGAGGTGGACATGTGCCTCCCAAAGTCCTCTGTAAGAATTCACTAGGGACATGGTGGGAAGAGGGGAGATAAGAAAGGATTTAAGGAAGACTTCAGCTGAAACAATCCAAAAGTCCCTTTTGATGTGATCTCAGAGACCATGCTCTGGCTACACAATACAGAAATCCGTGGCCACAGGGCCACAGCCCATCCCGAGTTTCTGCACCTCTCTCACAAGTTTCCAGGAGGAGCACTCGTCCTCCTCTCTCAGTGTTGATCTGGCCTCCCTCCTCCCAGTACTTCAGGAGGAAATGAGTAGTGTATACATTAACTTGGAGACTTTATCTAGTTAGAGACTTTATCAATAAGCTCAAACTCCCTCATGGCATTGTTTCACTTTCACTGCATGATGTCCAAAGCACAACATTTGCACTAAGCCTAATCTTCTCTTTTTCAATTCTCAAAATGACCTGTTCAGTTCTTTAGCTTGGGACATTTTGCTTAGAGTCTTTTTCTCACTTTTTATTTCTTAGATCCATGAAGACACCAAAAGCATAGAACCATTAGCCAATAGACACACAGGATGTCATGGCCACAAGCCAAGCTTTTGTCTGGACTGAAGTGATTGGTTTTGGGTGATGGTTTTACTGGATTAAGTGAGGGGCTCTTTAAACTCTTGTTGTTTGAGTTAGGCTTGAAACTGGCCAGAAAGACTCTGTGATCCTCCCAGCTCTCCCCTTCATCATATCTTACCCTGCCTTGTGCTCAGGCTACCAGAGCTACAGGATTTAGCCACCAGCGACAGAAACAGGCTTGCAGAAATCTGCCAAATGTGGAGAATTAACTCCAATTCTAAAGGCTGACCCTGGGGGCAAGGCATGTGAATGGGGGTTTCCTATTCAGGCTCCGTGTATAATCCAAAGGCTTTGAGGAGCCAGGAAGGTTTGTCACAGGATGATGGGTGACTCCTGCTCCCCAGGTGAGCCTTCCTTGACTGTTGTTGGCATGCATTTCACTTGCAGTGCTTATCTTTGCTGTGTATTACTGTTTGCAGAGTTTTGGAGCTGTGGAAGCAGCTGGAGGTCATCCAAGGCTGCTCCTCACTGCAGCCAAACTTCTCTCCTCAGATGGCAGCAGTAAGGAGCAGCTGGGCTTTCCAGGGCTCTGGTACAAGCAGAGCTGGCAGTGCGACCAAAGTCACTCTTCCTGGACAATCTGTGTGTGTCTAACAGCCAGCCCTCCACAACCCAGTAAGGATGTAAGTCCTGAGCATTAAGAGCCCACTGGAGAGGAAATTTTGGCCTGTGCTGTGGCTGTAGTGAAACAGGACAGGAAAATGGGAGGGTCCCCGTGAGCTGTGAGCAGCCCATTGCAGCACAGGGCACTTCCACACTGGGCTTGTCACAAGGAAGTTATCTGCCTGCCTGGAGTGTGCTAAGCTGTCAGGGTGATTACAGTCTGCTCTGCACGGTGTGATATCCTCAGGGATCCTCACTGTCTTCTCCTGCAGGACACATTTTATATTTTAAACCATGTTGAGTGTGGGGTGAAAGCCTGACAAACATAATTAAGGTGGTTTGGGTTTTTTTAAACCTAGGAATAGGATGTAAGTTGTTTTTGAAACTCCTTCCATCACCTTCACTTCTGGAATTTTGCTGTGTGAAGACTAAACTAATTGCTTCTAAGCAAAACACTCAAGTGCAGAAAAGTTTAGCGATGCAAGGAATTACCTTCGTGTCTCTCTGGTATTTTAGATATTTTATCACCCAATGTAAGGAGTACGGTTTTTTAGAGATTTCTGTCAGAAGCAAGTGCTCTCGTGCTGTTATAGCTGCTACCCAGGCTAGTGCAAAAGGAACAACACATAAATGTGCCTAACAGTAATAAATTCGCCTACTTTCAGAGTACATATGATCCACAGTCCCTCATCCGCTGTTGTCTGCCAGAACGAGTGGCAAAAGGTTTACAGGGCTGAAGAGAGGCAAGGCATGAAAGGGAGTCACAGCACCAGCAAACATGCAATTACTTGAATAGGCATTGAAAGAAGGGTGAATCACAGAAGTAGCCAGAAGTGACCCACTTGCGTGGGAATACAATGGCAGCAATGCAAACAGTGGGGCTGCGAGGCTGTCCCTGCGAACACGAATTTCTGCAGAGAGCTGGAGAAGGAAGAGAAGAACGAATCCTTGCAGATGATCTACACGGATTTGCCTGCAAAAGGATGTTTGTACGTATAGCCCAGATTTCAGGCAACAAATACAATTACAGTGATGGTTCACTTTGTCATTTCCACTTATATTCCAAAATTAAGCAGCTGAGAGCTCATGCTCGCAGCTTGCAAGTAAAGATCTGATCTGGCCCCACAATTTGTTTTCCCTGCTTTTCCCTGCTTTCTTGTTGCTGAAATATGCAGCCATTGAGTTTAAACTAATTTGTTCAATCAAATGCAGGCTGGGCTTTGTCCGGTTCTTACTCTTCATTAGAAGCAATTAATGTTAATCATGCATTCATTTCCAGGGCATGGCTTTGGAAATGTTCCACTTATTGAGCCAGCAGACTTAAATTCAACATTCATGCACTTCACCCACTTCTAACTGCTCGCAGAACTTCATTCTCTTTTCTATTACACAGAAAAGCCACACAGTTGCAAGCTGTCACTTTAGCAGTTACCTCATAGGTATAGCAACACCGATTCCAAATCTCCCAGTTTTGCCAGAGTAAAGATTTTACAGAGCCACAAAATTGAAGCACCTGCACGGATTAGGTCGGGAAAGCAGCAGCGAGGGCTGGGCTGCAGGCAGAGCACGGCACAGCAGAACAGACGAGCTGCTCTCTGCAAATATTTCCCTGCTGCTAAACATCCCATCCCTCTAAAAGACAACACTATAGCTGTTGTTAGATTTTGATGTACTCACATTTGGAAGAAATCACAGTGAAAACTTCTAAATTTTCATCGCTGCAGCTGTAAATCTGGTGCATTTTCCACTTCTCCCTACTGACTGCCTTTCAGCTTCATGCAACCGCTCTGAACTTCTGGTAAATAGGTTTCACTAATCCAATCTGGCTCTGTGATCATTGTCCAGATCTACAAAGGACAGACTGATGCTGTGATCTCATCTCATTCCATATTCTTCATTGCAACATTTTCTGCTTCCATCTGCCTTTCTATGAATAATATTAACACAAAGATTTAATTTAGCTCTTGCTTAAGCCTCTACTCAGATAGGAGCATTTTATTTTACATATGATTTTACCAGTGTGGAGAATCCTCTGCAGTAAATAGCTAATAATTAAAGTCTAATCTATTGGCAAATGTTTACAGAAGTATTGCAAAGATATTTGAAATAAGTTGGGTTAAATATGTACTTTAACATATTTACCATAAAAATTTGCTCCTTACACATAATGAGGAGGTGACTCTAGTATATTAGGAAAAGCATTTTGTGCTTTACCATTTCATTTCATAAACAAATACTGTAATTCTGGGTTTTTCAAAGTAAAATTTCAAAAGCAGATGCCTAAGAAGGGCAGATGTGCATAGATCTCTGTTCCCCCTACACGTCTGTGGTTGCAAGGGGAGGAAAGGTGGCTCAGTCATGGATGGGTTCCTGACTTGATGGCTCTGGGGTCTAATCCCATATTTACGCATTTCAATAAAGGGTCCTCTTGCCAAAGCTTTTAATTTCTTAATACTCCCATCAGAAATTGTTCCTTTCCACCTCTATGAATATCAGCCCACTCAACTTCTGGTGACTTAATGCTGCCATGGACACCCAAGACAGAATATTTTGGCTTGCAGGCTGCAACAACTGATGTAGTTGGAGCACTTTCAAGTGTGAATAATGATATTAAATTATATCAGTCTAATGAATAGCCTTCATTACTACCACGTGTGTGTCTAATTAGCACAAAAACAAGTGCTGTCTTCTCCTATAGCTGTCTGCCACCAGCAGTCCCAGATGGAAAGTGCCGGTGAACATGGGCCGTCACTGTCATATTGATGAACGTTTCTGATTTGAAAAAATAAATATTGGTCAAATAGACATCCTGAGCCTGGAAGCATTTTGGTTGAGTGGAAGGTGTTGCTGTTTCAAGAAAGCAGCGAGCGAAGGGAAGCTGTTGTCACTTGTCACCTCCCAGGGCAGGCTCCTGCTGTCCAGGGGCAGCAAAGCCTTTGCAGGGCTGGGGGCATTGTCCCAGGAAACCGTGCCGCGCTTGGAGCAGGCAGTGGGACGGCAATATAATCAACCAAAAGTTCAATTAGTTTTTGATTTATTGCGCCACATGTTCTGCTTGTATGACTGATGTCATTAACATCAGGCTCGGCTGGCGCATTCATCTGTCCCTGCCCGGCTGCCTCTGAAGGCGCACGCACTCAACAGATGGGGAGCTGCACGGGTGCAAGGCAATTGTTTACCCCCCTATTGTCCCTGTGTCAAGCAATCAACCCAAATCCATTACCCACCGAGAAAAAGATCAGCGCACCGTCCATTCAGCACTGAATGGGGCAGAGGCGGTTATGCAGGAGGCTCTAAAAGCTTTCAAAAGGATAAAAAAAAATAATGAAGACCAACACTGAATAGTCCATTAAAAAAAAAAAAAAAAGCTATAACAAATCTAACCCACCCTTTATTTCACCTTCAGATATTCAGAGTCCTGTGAGAAGAGGGGCGCTTTTGGACCTAAGTCATTGTTTTCCAAATTCTAGGTATGACCTACAGATATTTTCAAATCACAGATGGGGTTTAATATTAGAACAAGAATTGGGTTCTTCATCCTTTGAGGGTTGGTGTGATGTGGAGACTGAAGTGAGACTCTAGAGCTGGTACCAGCTGGCATTCACTGCATTACAAGGCAGGTAGGTTTTGGACACACCTTTACAATGCACAGGACGTTCTGGGGACAAATCACTGTACAGAGAGCTGATGAAAAGCATTCACATCACTTTCAGACAGAAAAATAGGGCTCAGGAGGACAGATACAATATCTCATCTGGGAATGAATTCTCCCCTGTTCATGAAAAGGAGTTTGCTTCTTTATTTCGTCCAGATCCTGCAGAGCAGTTGAGCACTATGAGTGCTCAAGGTTTTGCATGAAATCTTAATGTGGCTTCAAGAGAAGACCTGCACATATTGGGCTACTTTTTTCTACCTTTCTGGGAGATATTTTGGGCAAATGTCCAATGTTGGGTTTAGCTACGAAATAAGTGTAATTATATCTGCAGGAAGTGTAGTGCAAAAGCTCTACTGCATGCTACCTGATAAAGAAGTGTAGGCAGTAATTTTAGACTTGGGGGAGAAACTCTCCACAATGTCCAACCTCGGAACTGCAGAGCCACATCAGACAATCTCACGTGGTATCTCTCTCCAGCTCCCTACTCACCTAGCAAGAGTCCACTCTGTGGTGGGAGGAGAAAACCAAACAGTTTTTGAGTCTATGAATATTTTTTTTTTCCCAAACTACATAAAATGTCTGGAGACCAGGCTCAATTTTTTTCTTCTCTACTAAAGTGAGGAATAAGCTATTAACTTAATTCACATGGTGCCACGTGGTGCTCACTGCTTCTCATGCAGCCATGAGAAGACCCTAAGAAGTTTTTGCCCTGGGGTGTATCTTTGACCTTAGACTCCCAAGTGAACACCTTGAATCCAAATTCCTCCCTGTGGGCTGTGATACAGCAGTTTTCCAAATACCCACTCTCAGTGTTGATTGTAAAGGATCAAAACATTTCCTGGTGCCAGAATAAGGTTACCAAAGGTGAATGGGGACAACTGAGACTGAATAGTCCATTAAGGAGGAGGAGGAGGAGGTGGAGAAGGAGGAGGAGAACTCTAGACACGAGAACAGACACATGCTGTCTGACAAAAGACACATCTAACCTTATCTGCAGGTCTGGGACAGGGAAAGTATTTGATTCTTGGGAATGGGGGTAGAAAGGAGGGAAAGGCAGAGAAGAAAAAATGCTTGCTGAGGCTGAAAGGAAAAAAATAATAAACTTCAAAATAGCAGAAGTCTCAATAAACCTTGTAAAAATGGCAGAAAAATCCAATAAACTGGTGAGATGTCCCTCTGGGGAGCAAGGGTGCTTTTTCCAAAGCCTGAAGCCTGAATCTGTTAGGACATATTTCAAAGAAACAAATGTAGATGCTTGTCCTGTTTACCAAGCATGCCAGAGCTGGTAAACTTGAAAGGAATAAAATTTTAAAAATATGGTTACAAAAACTGTAATTAAAACTTTCAGTTATTTAAGATAAGAATCAGAAACCTCTAGACCTTATTTATCCTGGTCTCTGTGAACAAAGGAATCCCTTTTCAGTGCAGATTTCTACCAGTGAAGTTGCAGGGAAGCAACCTGATACTGTCAACATGTGCAAGGGGTATTGCCAAGGGATTCCCTGGCCCACAGAGGACAAAGCTCTTCCCAAGGCAGGTCTCTGGCTTCTCCCTGGATCTTGTACCTTGTTGCATAAGAGGTAAAGCTACTCTGTACTGAGCCACTTGAGCCTATTTCTTACTGTTAGCTGGGCAATATGATAAGGATAAACCCCAGGTATTTTTGGAATAGGATTGTGAACCAGAGGGATGCACAGATAACCATTTAAAAATAAGATGGGATAAAACTGCACATGCATACTGCAGGCATCTACTCTAAACCACTTCTACATGATGCAATGCTAGCAGCCTTTTTTTTTTTTTTTGTAGAAGGAAAATCGCTTTGTTTCAGTTTAGGGCCACAGAATTACAACTGCAAACAACTGAAAAGGAAAACCAACCAGAAAAGCAAACTATACAGTGAAATTCTCATAATAATCTGTTGTTTTTCTCTGAATGAAAGGAATAGTGAGACAGATACACTATCAGTAACTTCACCTCACACTTGTAGCAGACAGCAAAACTAGCTCAAAATTGAAGTAGCACCACACGGCTTAAAGGTGAATTTTCAAAAGTAACGTCAATTTGCCTCTGTCTAGAAGACGCTGTAGCAGAATTTTCCTTAATGGGAATAAAATTGAGGCTTTCAAAAAACATTTTGAACTTTAAATTCTCTACAGGGAACGAGGAGAGAGATGCAAGAGCTCTGCAGTTTGAAAAGATGAGTGCACAGGCTTCTCTGCTGATTGGGAAAGGAAATACCAGCCAGACCTGGAAGCTAGGCTGAAAGCATCCCCCCACTAGTTACAGAAAGATATTGCAGAATTCTGAAAAAAAGAAGAGAAAAACAAAAAAAGGGGAAAAATCCCCACCCCAGCCTGGTTGGCTTCTCTTATAAAAGTTACATATAGATAATTGGGCAGTCACAAATTTGCCGTAAGCTTGTAAAACACACTTGAGTAGGTCCATATGATGATTAGGTAGAAACACAATGCTCAGCACCACAAGGTTCCAGTCCCACAGAGTTTGTGCCAACAGCAGGGATTGCACTAAGCCAGTATTAAAGCTAGGGCCAGGTTGAGCACATGGAGGCTTAACAAGCTTTCATATACTGGTCATGTACTGGTAATCCACAGAAAGCATTAAAAATGTCAACAAAGGAGTGATATGTCCAAACCAGGCTGTGACAACAATAGTTCATTAAAATGCTAATCTTAAACTACATTTGTCCTGGATTTACTAATTTTTCAAGCTAATTGATCAGTGAGGTCTTTATTCCCTTGATAAGCCACAATGGTTTTTAGATAGGGTTTTTTCACTTCCAATTTTTTCTTTTAAAATTTTTTAAGATTATCTCAACTATTGGCTCCTGCTAGAAACATAACCAGTTTTGGGCAAACAAGCACATTAATCAAAGCTTGTCCTGTGATTCCTGGATTTAGGCAGTGGTAGCCCTCTTGCTGCAATTGCATCCTGAGTCTTGCACCATATGCAATAAAATCTACTCTTGGGTAACCAGGCACAAAATACTTAGGATTTCTCCAATGGATAAGTCTAAGGAGTAAGGCAACCTGAACTGTCACCTTACATATCTCATGTGTCCTCATACAGCCATCAAGCTCCTTTTGCCACAGGCAATACATGTGCTCCAGTGGGGATGAAAGGTCTTTGGAGGGTATCAGATGGCATTGCCCCCTCTGCTTAAGCTCTGTGTGAAAAGAGATTAAACTTAAAACAAGGACCATCGTTATTTGAGCTAGAGACCATGGGACTAGCAACTTAGAAAATAGGAAGTAGAACCTGCACTAAAGGCTCAAAAGCAGATCAAATTTATGAGTCCCCTTTTGATCCAGACTCAAGTTATCTGAGTGACAAAGCAAGGTAGCCCAGGAGTTGGCACTGTGACAAAGGAGACTTCAGAATTGCTGTGCCTTTGAAATGTGATTATTTTGAAGTATCTTTTGTGCAACTAGTACATCAAATGACCATAGAGCATACAGGTAAGAGCGTGGAGGGGGGAACTCTGATGCCAATTATCCTAAAACAGTTTTTGCTGAGATGAGGCGATTTATCTGATCTTCCTGCTGGTTTGGTCTTTGTCCTCTCCACTGATGCTGCCAGTAGGGGTGTCAAGATCTTCTGCTGTAAGCACTTGGCTTGTTTGTAGGAATCTGATTAAAGTAGATCACCTCAGATAACAAGAGGAATTAATGCTGCAAATACATAGGAGAGGATTTTCAAGCTTATAAGCTACATAGAGGTCAGTACTTTTAAAGTCACGCAGCAGCCTCAGATCTCTGATTTTCGCAGAACTCATCTTTACGTGTCCTTCTCCTTTATCCTGTTAGCCTTTACACTTAAGCACTTCCCTTTATTACTTCAGTTTCACCTGTAATCTTTTCATTTGCTCTGTCCACTACTAGGAAAGTACTGTACAGAGCTAATCCTGGGAGTAAAAAGAAACCAAAAGGGAACAGGAAAGAGTCTTTGTGGGCCTTGCTATGGACATGGAACCTAATAACTATGTACGTCTAGATTCCTCATCCTTCAGGTTTTTACAATATTTTTTAAATGCATATTCTCATCCTAGATGTCCCCCTGAAGTCTGATCCTCTCAGCTCCTAGACTCTTACATCCTAGCACTCCAACTTTTTCTCTCTGTAATGTGTAACCACGTTATATACTCAGGCTCAACATCTCAGCTGTGAACAACTGTACTCATCTGTCTGCCAGTTTTCCCCAAAGCCTGGCTTGCTGTGTGCATGCTGGTGTCTCTGCTGAAGGACACACTCAGACCTTTAGTGCCTGTCAGCCAACCCCCTGATGACTTTGTTGGGCACCTTGGTGTTTTCAGCTCAGCTCTGCTGGGTAGGCCCCTGAATGGGGCTTTACGGTTGGTGACATTATAATTTCTGACATGAGAAGTCATAGAGAGTTACTTTACATTCAGAAACTGCCCACCAGCTCTCTGCTCAGTTTAGCTAACTGAGGAGTCCTAACTTTAGGTCTTCCATTTGAAATACAAGTGCAGTAGGTATGAAGTACACCAGCTTGACCACACCAAGAACTAAACCTGACTACAGGAAAGCTGCAAGCTGTGGGACATGGCATTCCAGGATGTCCTAAATGCAGGTGGTGACACTGTGAGTGTGCCTGAAGGAGACATGTGTGCTCCAGAGGCTGCAGCCCTCCAGAAGGGAACACGGAGGTGCCACCGCTCACAGAACAGCACCAGCACAGCTTCAACCCTTCCTGGGCTGAGCCTGATCCACTGAAACACGGAGGGCTCTGAGATTTTAGTAGTGCAAGGCGAATGTAATGCAGGCTGTTCATGTTAACTCCCATTTTTTGCTGCTTGGATAGGCACTCGGTGACAGCTTTCATGAGGCAGGAACTCGTCCATTGGAAAATGGATTATGACCACCAACTCTTGCACATAAACTACTGAGCAATCATCCAGTGGTCACTAGTGAGACACCACAGGTCTGTGCTGGTGACCTAGGGGTGAAATGACTTTCTTTGTCTGTCTGAATCCCTGAAGCATTCAGACCCTGATCAGGGGGGATGTTCTGATCTTAACCACCATTAATCTTCCTTAAGGTGAAAGGGTCAGAAGAGCAAGCTATTCAATGTTAACTGGGGTTTTTTTTCTTAATGCCAGCAAAAAGGCTTTTTTATTCCCAATGCTGTCTTAAAACATACAGCAACACTTAAACATCCAAACTTTCACAGTCATTTTCTGGAAGTGATGTCAGCTTTTAGATAAATGACAAGGACCATACACAGTGTCAGCCCCCCACAGCTGTGTCCATAGCCGTAACAACAATGCCACACAATGTTGTCTTTAAATCCCATAAAAGGAAGAAACAATGCCAGAGAATGAAGCCATAACGTATTGGAGCTGCTGACAATCAGTCTTTAACATGTGTTATCCATTTGACTGCAGGTGTAAATCAGCATTTCAATGTCAATTTGCTAATTTAAGGCTGTATGGTCAAACACCCAGAAAAAGCACAAGTGCACTGTTAAAGTAGGTCAAAGTCACTGCAAGTCAGGGAACACAGAGGAAAGGTTTCCCATCAATAAGCCATTTTGAGCAATCAGATATGTATTTCATGATAAAGTAATATTAGATTAAACATTTAATGGGAGCTCAGACTACAGTTTCATCACACCCAGTACTCCTTTGCTGCTCAGACTTTGGTGGTGAATGTGCTGCCAGTGTTTGTAGCTCAGGAATCAAGCTGTGTGGCTCTACAGCGTGACACAAATTAACACGTGAATTATCTCCAGGGGACAGAAGTCTCATTTCCTCTGCCTTCACTTAACTATGCCACCACATGGATGTAAATTAATTTTCCCCTTTAGTTCCCATGTTCAGAGAAATAAGGAAAATATCTGCTGCTATTTGTTGTACTTAAGAGTTCTCTGAAAATGGGATACATGTACTTTTTCAACAGAAACCAAAGTCTGAAAGTATTTTTTTTATCCTCCTCCCTATTACAAGGAAAGCAGTTAACTTAAGAAACTGATTAACACTATATTGAGCTGTGTCAAATGATTTTTTTTTTTTTTTTTTTTTTTTTTTTTTTTTCCTGGATAACATTTTCTACCCACTCACTTGTGGCAGCTCTTTCAGTACTATGGGGAAAAAAAGAAACATTCTGAATGGCATTTTAGTGGGTTAATGGAAGATTAGATCTGCCAAAGTATAACACTGCATTCAGAAATGTTGCATCTAAGGGGACTGTAGCCTTCCTAATGATAACCCAGGTGTGGAGCTTTTCTTTGGTCTCACTTTCTTTGAGAAATTCAGAGCAAAAAGTAGAAGCTTCTGCTTATTCTCATGGACCACTACACTTCAAAATTATGCACTAAGCTTTTTTTTACCCACTGCCCTGTGTGATTTCTCATAAGTACACTGCAGTAAACAGAAAGGCTGAAAAAGACATGTGCAAAGAGAGCTGAGACCTCTGCAAATTTGGTCACTGACAGTCTCACAACACCACTGTTCAGAGGAATCTCCTCTTCTGCAGGTGGCCAGGTGGTATGTCAAAGATTAACTCAGCTCTCCAGGCAGGTTTAGCAGAGATGGCTAGGTGTGGAAGACCCTCTCCTCACTGCTCAGGGCTGACGCTGCAGCAGACAAGCAGCTTGTGCAACGCTGTGTGAGCCGTGGCTGCTGGAGACATCAGGAAAATGGTGGCATCACTTTCTGTGTTCACTAGCTGGTCCTTGGATTTAAATCAAGTTCATTTTTATTTAGGAAGCACACAGGGATGGTTTGAGGAAAAATGGAGACCCTACCTTTAGGTCCTGTGCACAGAGATGTTGAATGTGGCAATGGATTTATCTGGTTGGAGCTGTTGAATCCCAGGCACACGGCACGTGTCCTGGAGCACAGTGATGCCTAAGCAGCTTTACTCAGGGGTTAAGGAAAGGGCCTAGACAGAGCTTGGCTGTGTCCCTTGACCATTGCTCTTTCTCATCCATTTTTTTAAGGTCTCAGGGAGATGGAAAGCCAACCACAAGATAGAAGATGACAGTCACGGCATAAGACAGTGCAACAGGAATGATCATACAGCCTAACCTATGTGTAGTTTCATCCAAGTTTATTCACACAGGATGATGGTGAGAGTTTTTGAAGATTTAGGCATGTTAAGTACATCTTTTTTTTTGCTTTATTATCTTTTTAACTGCTGAGAAAATCAGCACTGGTATGGAAAGAGGCAAGGCAAATGAGGGGAAGGACAAACTACTGTACCAGCTGCTCTCATATCTATAAATCCCAAGCAGCAATCCTGCAGGCTCTACCTTGTGAAGTGAGGGAGTTTTTAATTTGGTACTCCAGATAAAACTATACCTGCTGGTAAACTATTTTCACCAGCACTACATATGCTCTTGTTCGCACTTGCTCCCCAAAGCTAATCTAATAAATGTAAATGGATTGAGTGAGTGATCTCATGGGCCAGGTTTTGGGCTGTATTTACCTGCACAGAGCTCAGAGAATACAGAGTTAAATGCTGCTCTCAAACAAGCTTTATTTTTGTTATTTGCATTTCAGCACAATCTAAACTAACAGATCCATCAGAGAGGGTTTGAGTAGCACAGCAGTAACAGGAGCACAAAAACGAGCCTCCCAGATTTCACACATGTGCCCAACCACCACTGGGCACTCACAATTACAGTGTTACCCCAGCTCCCCACAGAAATACCAGTACAGAGTAATTGAGTGAGATAATGAAAAACCCCATGTAGCTCTTCAGCTGTGAATAAAGCTACCACTGCCCAGGAGCCAGGAAGTGACACCCTGTCACTTCATCACTATTTGAATGACAGCATTCTGGGGCAACTTGAGCTCTCTTGATTTTTCCTCAGAAAATCCCTACTAGTAACTAATAATTGGTGGTGGAGACTGATGTCCATGAGAGAGATTTTCACATGTAGCTGATGTCCGTGGCAGAGATTTCACAACCAATTCAAGGCAGTTGAAGACCTTGATGCAGCCAAAGAGGTGAGGAAAACAGAAATGTCCCCTCTTACAGCACCATCTGCTTATGTTAGGTTAGGTATTACATAAACCCCCTTTGTCTCATCTGTAAAATATGGGTATCAAAGGGGGTATGAGGTTTATTTTATAAGCCATCAGGAGCTGCAGGTTACCTGGTATAGGAATTTAAGTGTGAGGTTCTGTCAGTTGAAAATGCAGCCTGCCAATAACTGCCATACTGGCATAAAAAGCAGATAAAAAGTGTGCTGGAAGAATTTATCCTACCTCCCTAAGCAGCCCATCAAAGTGCTCTGCTGCAGTGATGAAATCACATGCTGCTCAGTTTCCCAGACGGTGTATTTCCCCCAAACATAGCAGGACTGCCGTGAATTAGGCTCCTGGACAAAAAGATTCTCTCTTCATGAATCTGTACTGCTACCACAAACTGGAGAAAGACAGGAGTGGAAAGACAAAAGAGGTCAAAAGTTTATACAGAATCATGGAATGGTTTGGGCTGGAAGGGATCTTAAAGATCTAGTTCTAACTTCCCTGCATGGGCAGGAACATCTTTTACTAGACTGGGTTCAGAGCCTCATCCAGCCTGACTGTGAACAGGGCTGGACAAAAAGTTTTGAGAAAAAGTTGTTTTTTTTCTAAACATGTCAGCTTTGCACAACATAATGAAGTGAATTCCTTGCTATTACATCAGCCTTCATGACAGAGGTACTTGTGGGCAATTTCAGCAGAGGGGAAGGTTCAGAAGGACATGGAGATCACATGTGTATCACATACTGGCAGTGCAGTCCTATGGCCACCAGACCTGTTCAACAGTCTGTCTTTAACCAGTATCCACCCACCTGTTTAACAGCCCTGAAATGGATCCAGTGCCAATATCCACTACACATCTGTCCTCAGATGCTAGGACAGCACTACTTTGATCACACAAATACACAAATGCAAAGGTGCAAGCATAGAGCCTTCTACTTCAACAGGGTGACTGAAAAGTGCTCCCTCCCCAGCAGAAAGAAATATGCACACCAGAAGTCACAGGGCTCTTCTCTCATTTGTCTTGTGCTGTGGTAGCAGCATGAATCAGATGCTGAAACAGTCCAACGTGAAGCAGAATCTGATTTAAACGAACTGTATACAAAACCACGTGGATCTTTTAAATAAAGGAAAATAATATTAAAATAATATTAAAATGTTAGTTTCCTTTCTCCCTTCCCCACTTCCCTTTCTCAGTTGACAGCCAACCAGCCAACCAGGTTAACTGCTCGGAAGGTGCACGCTCATTCCCACATCTAACCAGTGCTCCCCGTGGGGCACTGTGCAGCCAAATGCTTCACCACCTCTTTTTACTATTGAACCACAGCACACAGCCACTTCCTCAGGCTGGTGGCTGCACTCTGAGGGACAGCACCTGCAGGAGCTCAGCAGAAGCAATTGATTCACAGCAAAGCAAGATGCAGTTGAGAGCTTCCTTCCACAGAACACAGCAGGAAAGGGAGCATGTTGCCTCCAGACAGACAGAATGACCATGATGGATGCTGTCTTGCTGTTGTATGGTTTCTGTTGAGTGTGTGACCATGCTTTACACTGGTTTTGCTCCTCTGATAAACACCCCATATAGAGCATAAAATGAAAGATAAATATATGGCAATTATAGAGATTATAAAAGGAAAGATAAATATATGACAATATCTGTCAGAATTTTAATCCAAAACAAATTTCCAAGCAGTCTTTTCCAAACAGCTATGAAGTGTGCATATTTTTCTTAATCAAACAATGAAAATGCACCCCAGCTCAACCACCTTCTTAGCAAAGCCAGATGGTAAAAAGATGATAAAGCAGAACAGAATACAGTAAGCTGACATTTTCTGCAGGGGACTTCCCCTCCCTAATTAAAAATGACCTTCATTATTTCTTAACTAGCATGCCTTTTTACAACAAAATATGGATAACTTAAATAGAAGCATAATTTGCAAAATGGCTTGAAATATCCCTTAGAACATTTTTCCACCTTTGACCACCTCTGAAGCACAAAAAAGCCTTCAGTAATGCAAGAAATCTGCTCCAACTTTTATGCAAGTCAATGTCACTGACAACTGAGCAAGAAAGAAACCACAGTCAAGTCCTCACTTCAAAGCAGTGTTTAGTTAAAGATGAATTATGTGACCTTTTGGCAGTGTACAATGGAACAGAAATCAAAGTTACCCAAATTCTTCCATGCTCTAAACAAGTTCAGTCCCGTATCTATGAGAAACTACCTCTGTGTTAGAATAGACCACACTTTCCAGAACATGTTTAAGCTAATAAAGTTTCATGGAAGCCTCGAAGAGAGCAGATAAGTCTTCTTCTGTTTGGGGACGTGGTGATAGTTTAGTCACTCTCTCCTGCAAGATGAAAGAAAAACTGGATTATAAATGGATACCAATAAAATTAATCAAACAGTAGGCGAGCTATGTGTCTCTGTACTAACATCCTTCACAGAGAAAAACAAAGTTTTGCAAAATAAGTAATCAAGTAATTAAAGTTGAAGCATCGTCAACTGTACAGTACTTTCAAGAATATATAATCTAAAATTCCCTATAGCTAAATACACAGAAACAAGATGAGAAAGCTGTTCAGTTTCAGAGTCAAGCACAGCAAACATGGGCCTTCTCCATCGCAGATGTCAGTACACTGGAGGACATTATCCTGAGAATATAGTCCATTTTAAAATTAATTTTCCAGCACTGAGCTTGGAGTTAGAGTTTTAGTTATTAGTTAGAGTTTTTTAGTTAGTATTTAGTTAGAGTTTTTTAGTTATTTTCAAAATACAACACCTCTCAAGGCCCAGGAGCTGCTGTAAATGGGGAGAATAAACAGCACCTGTAAGTCAGACTCCAAAAAAGAGAGAGCAAGGGACAGTACAAAACTGCTTAATAAACAGCCCCACACCAGGGAGTCAGAATACAAAGGAGTTGTGGCTGGTGTTCATTTGGACACTGATTCAACAGAATGCTCAGGGGCTAAAGCCCCACTGACTGCAGTGAAACTCAGGTATGTTCTTTAGTGCTCTGCTTGACAAAATAAGCACAAAGGCAGGGGCTGCAATTCAGAAAAGCCCTGTGCTACTGAGGATGAGGAGCTGCATTAGTGAAGGTACCCAGTTACTGCAGGAACATTCAGCTGAAAGGGCCCAACAGCAGTGTACTCATACTGGTTATGATTAGAACTTTCATGTTTTCAACAACCAATGATTTTAACATTTACTGAAATACTGGGGAGAGTTAGAGATGCCTGCAAAGACAGAGTCCAGGCCCACACTAGGAACACATCTTTAGATGAGGTGTGTTTTGGCAAGAGTTTCTTCTGTTGCAACCTGTTTCAACATCTCCCCTGTGGAAGGTGCTGCTCTCCAGCTTTAAAGTTCCCCTCTTTTTTCACATATGAGACAGTAGATATCATTTGCTGAGTTCCTTGCCTGAGGCACGGAGTGGGATGCAGGGGAAGGGGCTCCCCCAGTGTCCTGCCATGGCAGGAGGCTCAGCTGAGCCCCCTGGGAGCAGAGCACACCCCATGCCCAGGGCGATGCCACAGCACAAGGCTGCAGCCGTGCGCTTTCCCCGGCCTGTGGGACGCGACTGCAGCAGGCTGGATGTGGTTACACGGCAAGAGAGGCCACCACACTGCAAAATCAACGTGAAACAGTGGTCTGGCGTGGTGAGATGTCAGGTGAGAATGTGAGGTATTCACAGCTCATAACCATGGTTTTGCATGGCTTGTGAGGAGTCTGACAAGTGCAGCTCTGTGTGCATAATTTTACCTACAGAAGATTCACTGGTGCATAAGTGGCAATCAAATGGTACCTCTCTCCCCATCACTGACACCAGTGCTGCTACACACAGAGGTCCAGCCAAAGAGAAGACTAAGATTCTTCTATGCACTTTTGAAACCAAATGGAAAATTCAAACAGCACTAGGGCAATAGTGTGTTGTTTTTTTCAGACTCATAATGTGCAAAATGTAACAACACAGTGCTCAAGTATTCATAAATTCATCATATTAGGACCATCTGGGCCAAAGCCAATTTTGCAGCTCTGTGCACTGAGATGTCCGGATTTATCTGTGAAATCACACCGGGTGACAGGAGACAGCCAGCCTGACAGCCTGACAGACTGGAGCATTTCCCAGCTCTATCGACAGAAGGCTGCAAACGGGTGCTACTCCGTATGCCTCGACACAGAGGCACCATCACTACCTCTGCACAGGCTCGCTGATATTTGCTGGTGCCCAGACAGCGAGGCCCTGGCTCCCTCCGTCTGACTCAGCGCATTCTGGTCTGGTGCCAAACCCAGCAGCTCCGGACTCATCACTGGCTCTGCCCCCCTGTAGCTGCCTCCAGGACATCGGCAGGGGGTGGGTGGACAGAGAACAGCCCTTCCACGATCTCTTATTTTCAGTGCCCCTATCTCCTCTCAAACACCACCACCCAGCCACCTTGTACTTTGAGACAGCATCTTCTTTGCTAGAATAACTGCTGTCTGTAAACAAGATCCATTTCAACAGCCTCACTCAGGAAGGGAAATAAAATTCTGTTTTAACTTCAAGCATAGATGTCTGTCCCAACAGAGCTCCCAACCCAAATCCCAACAGTCAGATTACATTTTTCCCTGCAGCCTGCACTTCACGGCATGGAATATACTTGGCAAACTTTTTAGTGCTATCACCACTGCACCACATTGCTTTCCTGATGTGAATGGCCATTGCTGTATTACAAAGCAAATCTACTGCAAGATGAAAAGCAGAAAAATTATACCAAAAAATAAACTGTATGGATTAACCCGTGGTTACTAACAGATTGTTAAGGAACACTGATACATTTGCATCACGTTACATCTCATACAAAAAAATAAAGGCTGAGAAATGATTAGGTCATCTCATTTTACACAGTACAATGAATCACCAATGTCATAAGAAGACAGAAAAACCCTTCAGCATCTTTTGGTGAAGAATCCTTCCCCAGCTATGCAAAACTTGCATTCAATGCTTGTTTTGGATGCAAGAAATATGTATAAAGAAACATGTTTATCAAAACAAACCCTCCAAATGCCCCATTTGCCCCATAACAATGCACATGCATAACCTACTTCAGGGGTGCTTAGAGACCTTAGTTTTCTTCCTGGCCTTGCCACTGCTGTGTTTTGTGTGAACCTAAGTAGTTGCACCTTTGTGTCACTTTCTCAGGTATAAAATAGGAATATTAATATTTACTGTTAATGTAACTGTTCTAAGGTGCTCTTAGATTTATGAGTGAGAAGAACTATACAGGATCTGCTGTAAAAAGTGAATAACCTTTTGGCCTAAAAAATTTTCACTTTCTCCATAATATATATTTCCCTTGCAGCTTGGTGGGAACAAATACTAGGTCCACAGCATATGAATTAAACTGTCCTTTTACAAGGAAGACTCTGGATTTTGCTTTAAGAGTGGTGTGTTGCTTTTTGCAGTGTCTTTGTGGGCACTGAAACAATAAAGGGTATTACAAGTTTAATCTATATCATCCCAGGGGACCTTATTTCAAATTCTGATGGGGGTCAATGGAACAAAAAAGCCATCTGCGAAGAAAAATGCAACTTCTCAATATGGAAAGTTTAATGCAAAGTGAGTTTGATCACTCTTACCAGATAGCACTTGGTATTAAGGCTTTATCTATAGACCACCTGCACACATAATTAAGAGAGGTAGTTATGAAAAAGCAGTGTCTACTACAAAGATCACAGGCCTATGAAAAACATCCTCTTTTTAAAAACTGTAACATTAAAAAAAAACCCCAAACCAAACACTTGACCCTTTTTTCTGAATTCATGTGAAAACTGCAGCATGCACTCCATCCCACTGAAAAGAAAAATCTAAGCTGTGGAGTGAAACAAAATACAGTTGACTATCCATAATTTTCTCCATTTAAATAGTTTTCATGCAGGAAGAGAAATAAAACTTGCTGGAAAAGAAACACTTCTGGTTTTTTTCCAAAACCTGTTCTATTTCATTTGACAAGAAAAACTGTTTTGCTCTCTGTCTTACCTGAGGCAGAGTGCCTTTGACTAATGCAGGGATGTCTGCTTTGGAATAACCAATTGCAGCTAAGCCATCATCAACATTCAGATCAAATAGGAATTTCCGGAGTGTGTCTGCCAAAATAAGCCCCGCATCTTTGATTCTGGCAGTGCGGATGTCAGCTCCTAAAATAAGACATAATGTCTTGACTGTAGGGTGGAGAGAGCAGAGGAAGCCTGTCCTGGACTTAATTTAATCATAATATCAGCTGAATACATATCCATACATAACAGCCACTGCCCTAAAAGCAACATGAAGTAAAAAGAGGAATCAGTCCTCATTTTACAGTTGGAATGGTTGGTGAAAGGTGAAATAAAACAAGATCAGAGGCACGTTAACTGCTGCCAAAAAGACTAACTGCCACATGAGGTTAACTTCCTTTCCCTCTGTGCTTACAGGGAGAAGCACTTTTTAGTCTGACTAACTGCTGGGAGGAAAGAAGCTAATGCATGAACATCAGTGGTAGTTATTTGTACGGACAGTGTGCCAAATGCTAACTTCGTTTTAAGGCCTTGAGTTTGCTGACATCTAGAGGACTGTTCTGTTCAATTACACATTCACAGAGAGGACTACAGCATGTGGGCTGAAAAAGGCAGAAGACAGCAGGGCAGTGTTCAGCACGTTGAGTAAATTCTAAATTTATTGCTGTTTGAATATGTGCTGACTTGTGTAGGGTACTGTAGAACTGAAGAGGAGGAACTGCTCTCTTTGAAACATCTTTTGAACAGTAATGAAAACACCAATACAAAATGAAATATTACAAATATTTCTTACAGAATAGCTCATGTTCCCTTCTTCAATGAATGTTCAGAACTTACTTAAAAGTAATAATAAATGTCCAGACAGGAGACCCAAGTTTCTCCACATGATTTCTTTCAAAGCAACCCGAGCTAAATTGGTTCTCTGTGTAACCTCAATGATGTTACTGCAGAACTATGCAGGTCCAAGTGCCACACTGAGAGATGAGTTACAGCAATACATAGCTACAGGAAAAACATCTGTGATCCTCACACAGCTCAGTGTAACATTCAAAGGGAGTTAAGTGAACAGGAGACCTACAAGCTCACTTGAAGAGCTCAGATATTCAGGTAGTAAGGCTGGCGGTAATGTAGCAAATAATGTCTGGGAAAAAATGATAAATAAGATATGACAGAGTCTTGTACAAAATCTCATGCTATTGGGGCTATATCATGAAGTCTGAGTTTATCCTGGGTTTTGCTGTGGAGGGGTAACTAGGATATAAACCCACTATCTTCAGAGAGTAAAGTAAAAGGGAAAGGGAGGAGGATAAAATATGACAGTAAATGTGATTGGCAGTTTTAAAATATTACTATAGTTCTATTACTTTCTTTTTGCTCAACCTAAAAGCTAGATCAGTCTTTGATTGCACCTAGAAAATCTCTGGCCACATGCACACCTATTTCAACTGTTTAAGAATCCATCCAGGGAGGTATTAAGCTTTTTCTGGCTGTACCCAAATTCACAGCTGTACATACACACAACATAACTACTTAGTAATCTGCTTCGTGTCATAAAATACCTTCTTAGTCATTGCATTTGGCAACATGACAGATTTGAATCAGCCACTGTAGTCAGTTGGACTCTGGAGTGGACTCAGAAGTAAACACCCCAGATGGGAATGAATAAATTCAATTCCATGTGACATGTTTTCGGCAGAATCCCTTTCCAGCAAGGCACACAATGACGTAGTTAAAATTTCTACTGAGAAAATTAACAGAACTTTTAGAGACAGAAATTATGGCAGAAATTAATAGCACAAAACCTAAGGGAACTGCTTTTCAGTCACTGGTTTTAAAATCAAGAGCCAGAGCTGAAAATTTCTGATATGCTGTGCTGACCAGTTATCCAGACACATTTTGTTCAACTAATTTTAGTTGTGTGTAATTGCTGTAGGAACACAGATATGTATTAGCTTAGTATATGACTCCAGCTAAGTTTGTGTTTTGGTTTTGACCATAGGCAGGACAGCATACGTTAGAGGAAGCCTGAACAACCTCACAGACTGTTTATGAAATAAACAGAACTTTCACCCAATGTAGTTTTTCTGACCCTCTATAAAATACTATAAAAATATAAAAATTACTATAAAATAATATAGTATAACTAAAATATTTTTACTATATATAAAACACTATAAAATGTCTTGATTAAAATCCCATTCTTCTTGAGACCCCCACTGCTTTGAGATTACTTACACAGGCAAGTCATACATGTGACTAGACTGCTGTGACTTGCATACAGAAGGCTGACCATACAAGGGACTGAACACAAATTTTCCAAATACCAGAAGAGTTGACCTAACCATTTTTTCTCCACTCCCTGCACTGCTGTGCATGTGGCTGTGCCTGCTCCTTAGCCAGCATGGGTATTAACAGCAGTGTAGCCACGACACAAAACCTAGTGCAGGCAAAACCCCTGACCTTAGACAAATAAATTAGCTCAGTGCAGAGCCATGCTGTCACAGCTAGACTGCTAACAGCTCTGAGACTGCATCACTGGAAGCTGCTTTATTACACACAGTCATGCTGGAGGTATAATAAAGAGCTATCCTTCCTCTTAGGACACCCTTTGGTGATGGGCTGCACACATAAAAAGGCACTGTATGACAAAATAGCCTTTAAATGAGCTGTCAGCTTGCAGCATTCACTTTTATTCTGGTAAAAAGCAGAATAGGACATTTTGTTCATTAATCTCTTTTTAGCCATTACATATGTGTCCACAGAAAAGCTACTCCAGGAAAAGCTTTCCCTTGGCATCAGCCACTGAGAAATTCCAACACCTACAAACAAGCTTAGGCCTACATTAGAAAGACCAAAAGCCACAGCTGTGTGCCATGGAAAAAGAGCAGGAGTGATTCAGAATATCACTGTTCTAATTCACTACCACAGCAGGGAATTTGTTAGGGAAAATACTTCCTTTTAGCTAACAAATACCCCTGAGTACTGGTTCACTTTGTGGTAACTACTCTTCATAAAGCACCAAGAGTTGTGCCAATCACAGCTCTTGTTTGATTTGCAACAGACCTCCAGTTAATTTCAGCTGTGCACTTTTCTGGCCAAGAATCAGATTTCTCCAGCTTGTTGCTCTAATCACACCATACAGTATCAAAATTCAGCATTATTCTATCTAATTTGCATGACATCTAATTCCAGAATCTTGTTTTCTAGACTTAAACCCCTCCCAACAACCAATGACAATTGCTTTGCACATTGTTTTTTTCAATCCCAAAATGTAATTTTGGAAAGAATTCCATTTGTACATGAAAACTGTACCTACAGAGACTCCTACCTAGAATCTCTGCAGCTTCTAAATGCCGCTCAGGATGTATCTGTGCTGTGAAAGCAAACACTGCTGGGGATGTCAGTACCACAGAAAGGCCATGTGGCTGGGGAAAGAAAAAAAAAAGAGAAAAATAATGAAATACATCAACAGGACATGTACTTTTAACTTCAATGGACTTTAATCCTCAGTAATGACAGATAACAGATATTTGAAATTATAATAAAAATCCAAAAATAAATAAGTTTTACCACTAAAGAGTGATCCACATTATAATCCTTTGGTTTATAAGTTTTCACCAAACCAGAAATAGGGTAAGACATTCCATGGCTGGAACAGAGAGCAGAGAGAGAGTGGTTAGGGCAGCACTCCTGGTATTTGGAAAATTTGTGTTCAGTCCCTTCTGTGGTCAGTTTTCAGTATGCAAGTCTCTTCAGTACAGATACTCAGAAGGTATTGACAGGTATGATGTAGATATTAGGTACAGACAACCCTCATCCCTCTGCACCTCAGGGACCTAGCTGTAAAAAACAGTACCTCCTTACTTTGTGAGTGTGAAGTTACTTCACTGACTGAACTGAAAGACGTTCAGTTCCTAAAGAAATGTAAATATGCCAAAAATATCATAGCCTGCATACCTGTGTGTTCACACTGTCTGAGAAAAAGAAACTTCAATTTTAAGATATAATTATGAAAGTAGACTTGCTCAAAGAAAAGAAATGAAAGGAAGGTCTCTGAAGAAAATGACTGCTAATAACTTCTGTACACAATTCACTTTTAGGCTTTGCTTCTTTGAGATTTTCATCCAAATGAAACTATACTGCCTTGCAATATTACTTACAGCTCATTTCAGACTGCTGATTGCCGATCCCACAGACAAACTTACAGATAATTGCATCAGTTCAGGAAGAACTCAAGATTACATCATTGCTGTCTCACTGTGGAACAGCTGGCATGGAATCTAACATTTTGAATGTCATTGACTTTTTTACTCATGTTTTTACTACCAAGGAAGGTAAAGAAGGCTGTGTTTTGTAATTTTCATGTGACTGGTTTTGAGTATCACAACCCAAGAATACACAGTCCTTATACACATGAATGACAAGAGCCCACCAGTTTGTCACAACACAGAGGTCCTTCAGCATCACAGGCTACAATCTCTCACTCTACAATCAGCAATGAGGGCAGCAACATCTTTGACAATCTGGAACAAGCACTAGCTGTAAACTGACCTCAGATGGGGTTACTATTTCTCTGTACTCACCAGAGATGAACACCAGCATTGCCAAAGCCAATACCAGCAAAAGCACTTGCCAGGTGCATGTTGGCTCTTGCTTCGCGGTCCTCAGGGTTTCTGATGGCTCTGTGCACCATGGAGGCAAATGGTACCAATGAATTCACAAACACATTGGTGATTCAGGAAGGAGAAGGGAGAGAGGGCTTCTTTATGGACAGATACACAAAAAATCTAAAAGATAAGCTGGGATTAAAATGGTGGAAGTGAAATCAAGTCACGCTTTGGTAAAAGAACAATCCTGCATCTGGATGACTTATGTAGATCATACTGGTTCAGCAAAGGTCAAGCTTCCTTTCACTTTTCCAAAAAACAAGTAAATAGAGTGAATTTAACCATATTCAATTCAGTGGTGAATTAAAAAATTCTAGTTAGAATCTTTGGTAATTCTGTGTGTGGCTCCAGGATCACTCCAGCTTTCTCACAATCTCATTAGGTGGTGCTCTAGACCCCACCACCTGTGTGGAAAGAAGACAGGATTCCCTGCCTTCCTATGCCTCAGGATCCTTGTGTAATTTGACACAAGGAGAAAACTTCCCATGAACAGATTGCAAAGGAACAAAAACCAACTATTTTGACTCACTAGGTACTGTGAAAAGATTTTTCAAAAAACCCCCACACTGATCTTTAACAGAAGTGCACATGGTATGCAAAAGCTGTAAACAGGCTAAAACTTCATTGACGAGGATCAACACCAACTCCCAGCTAAGTCAACACCTATTCTAAACTGAAGGTCTTCTAAGAATGAGCAGGTTTGCAATAAATGCATACTTTTGCACATTCATAAGTGCATGTTATTACCTTCTTGATGGATGGGCAACTATCTTAATTTGGTGCTGAAGGCCATAGAAATAATATCAGCAGTATTTTATTCAGTTTGTTACATATTCCCTTTATGCTGTCAAAGAAGATTCTTGAAAAAATAAAAAAGTAAATTCTGCTCCCATATTAACTGAACAGTTTGAAATACCTTTAACTGAGGACTTCAAGAATAGATTCACAGAGGCATCAAAAAGCTACCACCTCAAGAAAAACTTCTAATCCAAATTTTATCTGAAATTTTGAATTTTATCTGAAAAAATATTCTGCTTTATTTAAGAAAAATCCAGGGTGAAAACAAAAGCTTAATGTTGCAGCATGCCTCACTCTAGCCTAAAATTTACGTTCTTGCAGGCAGCCCTTTTGGGGCACTGTGGCCTGAGCACCCTGCAGGGGAATGGCTGTTAAGGGTGTTACCTTTTCAGATACTTGGCGACAATGCGCAGAGCGTGCAGAGCCCAGACGTCGCTGACGGGGTTGCTGCCTTGGTAGGCTGGGCGGTGGATGGGGTTGGAGGGGCAGGGACCGCGCTGGTTGTAAGGCAGAGCAGTGTACGATTCCAGGGCGTGGCTAACAGAAAAATGGAGAAATCAATTATTTAAGGGGTAAAGCTCCCTTTTACTGCCCTGCTGTCCTTTGAATGCAGGTTCTTTTTTATTTCTGGTGTTCAGCGGTTGCTGAAACAAGAAATACAATCTCACAGACAGTGGAAGAATGCTGGGCCAGCACCTCCAGAGCACTTCCTCTCCAACAAACCCACCGAAGGCAATCTAAACACGGTCCCCTTCTATCAGCTCACACCATGCTAAAACCTGGTTGGGTGCACCAGCACCTGTAGTGTTTTTCACTGAAGAGGGCTGTATATGTGCAATGAGTGCATTTCTTTTCTGTAGGACAGGAACCATAAGAGACTTTAGCACTGGAAACTTCATAGGGTACTTTTAGAAGTACTGGCCTTGAAAAAATTATGTGTATGAATTTAAGCTAAGTGGAACTGCTAATAGTCTCATCTCCCAGACACTCATGCATCTGACCACATAAAGAAGGGGCACTGTCTACATGGCTTCATTAAGATGAACAAAACTACAGACAAACCATTTTCATTGATGAACAAATGCCTTTTTTCCATTACAGACATTGCAGGCTGAGGTCCTTCACCACGCTTGAGAAGTGTCAGTTTCATTACATATCTATTACTTTAATATACATAGCACCCAGAAGCAAAGTAAGCTCTGGCTCTCCAAATAGAAATGTCAATACATTTTGTGCAGTTATTTCCTGCAAATACACAGGAAATAACTATGAGATTGGCTCCCAGATGACCATAGCTGGGTGAAGACCTGTTAGTATCTCACAGGCTTTTATGAATTCTTATTGACACATCCTGGCTTTTGTTAGAAAATTCTTATTCTCTATTCAATGCCATGTCTGTGATTCATGATAAATGCTATTACAATTGCAATTAATCATCTATCTCCATAAAAAATGACACCTGGACTCTCTTTACTGACAACAGCTATTCTGGAAGCAAACAATTTCTCCAGTGCACTGCAAAAACATCCAAATTTCTGCAAATGCAGGATTTGTTTCCATACATTCTTAGGGAGGCAGTGAAACTAAGGAAGAGGAAAGTCTGACACAGCCCACCTTAACAAGAACAGCAAACAGAGAAAAAAGTTCATCCTCTTGTGCTCTCAAAATATATTTTTTCTACAATCATCATAGTAAAAAGACAAAATTTAAATAAATTCAAGTAGCAGCCTATGCAGAAAACTCACCAAAGCACATCAAAGCCACTGTTGGCCACTATTCGTTCAGGCATAGACAGTGTGTGTAAAGGATCAATGATGCCTAATGTGGGCTTAATGGCTCTTGAAGCAATACCTGCAATGTGCAAAGGGAAGAAAGTCAGTTAAAGATGTTCTGCAACAAAATAGGACAAGATAAGCTTAATGTTCAAAACAGGACAATAAAGAGGGAAAGAATATTTGAAGCTATGAACATGAAAGCAAAGAGAGAGAGTATTTATGAATGTAAGACTGATGATGAAGTCTCTCTAAAAGACTTATATGATTTGAGACTTTTGCCTGAAGTGGATTATACCAGACAATGTTCTCTCTCTGTTTGCAGCCCTCCCTGAGCAGCCTTGCAAGATGTCTGTGGCATCTGCAGTATTCATAGATTTGTATCTTCTGTGGACAGACAGAAGGCAAATCTGGTTTGTACCTGCAATCAATTGTTATTGCCAATGGTTGTCTTCAGCATCTGTAATAACTATGTCCTTGTATTTCGGTTAAGGGTGCAAAGATGTGGTTCTGAGAGAGACAGACAGACAGACAGACGACGTATACACTAGAAAACTCTTGAGCTATTGTCAAACCTCCTTAGCACACCCATCTGGGTCCCAAGTTCTGCAGACTGTGTGGCATATAAAATCCACATGTTTAGAAGCAAAACCTTAAACAGCTATGAAGCTCAAGATGACATTTTAGCCTTAATCTTTATTTGCCAGGGATGAAAAGGCCAAAGGAAGACAGTGTCCCTCACTTGCACAGCATCCCAGGCCTGAGGTTTCCAAAGTCAGGAAAAGGAACATTTGGTTGCAATTACACAACAAAGAAACAGAAGTCTTAAAAGCAGAAAGAAAAATACAGAGGAAATAAGGAACAGTTGGTTGACCCTGAATATAAGTAGAAATTTCCTTTGCAATTAACATTTTCTGCCATTTAAGGACTTGAAAGATTTTAGTTTCCTGTTTTGCCTTCAAACTATAATCCACTGTATTACATAGGTATTTCATTATGTTAATATGATATAAATTTAATTCAAGGAGGAAACCTTTAAGCTTTTAAAATTTGCCTGTGGCTGTTGAATCAAACAAAATAACACCTGAAATGACATGCAGTATCCTTTCCTTTCAAGGCTAGGAAATAACAAAGACATGGGAAAAGCGATTGTCTTGAATAACACACAGAAACCCCCACAAAACAAACAAAATAACCCCAAAACAAAGCACCCAAACCTCACCGGTTTTAACTTTTAGTTCTTTGAAGTCAAAAATGGCAACACCAGTGGTTTCACTTCCAGTGCCAGATGTTGTAGGAACTTAAAAGGAAGAATGGAGATAACAACAAATAATAAAAATATATATAATACTGCAATTTAAATAATAAAACCACAATAGTAACACCACCCAAAATACAGGGCCCAGGAAATCTTGAATGTATCCCTGATCCAAAGCCAACAGATCAAAGGGAAACTGCTACTTTGATCTCTTCTCTCAGTAAAGGAGTTCTAACTGAGCTAAACAAGACAAAATAAGGATGAAACCTCTGATTTTACCTCCACTGAATTAAATAGCAAAATGACTGCTGAATACACCTAGAGGAGAAGCTAGCCCAAAGGAAGCTGAAACAGCCACAGCAAACTGATTTCAGTAGAAATATCAGAGAGTGTAGAATGACTCACCTTCCCCTTGCCCCAATCTCCACACGCTCTCCTCCTGCTTTACCTGCAATAAGTGGCTTGAGGGGCACAGTGACCGGTTTTCCTTTCCCAATAGGAGCATTGACATAATCCAGGAATTCTGAGGAAGGGCTGGCTGCATACAGGTTGGCAGCTTTGCAGGTGTCTATCACAGAGCCACCTCCAACAGCAACATAGGCATCAAACTCTCCCTTTTTAGCAAATTGTATGGCATCCAGGAAACTTAGGACACAAGAAAAATTTTCCAATTAGTCAGGATAAAATCAGTACACAGGGAAACCAACTATTAAGACCAGCATGCAGGCCACAAGGAGGTGTTTAAAAAGCCATATGGAATCCTGTAAAGGCCTAGGCACTACTTGGAGAAATGCAAGTCAGAAGCAAATTGTACCTTTGGTCTGTTGGCTCCACACGGACATTATCATATATTTGAAAGTTTATACCATATTTTGTCAAGGAATTCAATACTGCATTTACAGGAGGGAGTTTGGAGAGGTTTTTATCTGTCATCAAACAAACTCTTCTAGCACCAAGATTCTGCAGGTCCTACAATAATGAATAAAAAAACCAAACAACTGGTATAAAATCATACACTTCTATTTAAACACTAATCCAAATCAACTGAATCATTTGATAATAACAAAACCCGAACTTAAAAATAGTTGCGTCCTACAATAATGAATAAAAAACCACCAAACAACTGGTATAAAATCATACACTTCACTATTTAAACACTAATCCAAATCAAATGAACCATTTGATAATAATAAAACCCCAACTTAAAAATAGTTGGTTATTGCAAAATTTTTAAAACCATACCAGCTGAAGAAAAAGAGCATTAACCACATACATGTAGAATACAGAAAGCAGAATAAAATTTAAAGCTGCCAAATTTATATAGTGGAAGTCTTAAGACAGAAGAAAACTAAAGTTGTTGAACCACATGGAACCACTTTAAACTACAGTAAAATATAAAACATTTTAAAAAATATTTTTCCTAAGTTCCTGTGAGAATAAAAAAGGCCTTTTCACAGATTGTCTCCATTAACTGCCTACTAAAGGACAGCATTAAAATATTGAAAATGTAATACTGGATATTTATTTATTGATGAAAAATCAAAATGAGGTGTTAAAAGGGAGAAAAATAATGCTACATCCTAACCTTTGCTAATTGTCACAATAGTTATACAATACGTATAAATTATTCTAGTGCTGTTTAAAGACAGGTTCTGTCTAATTTCCTTTATTGTCTGACTATAACCTTACTTCACAAATTTTCAAATAAAAAAAAGATCTATTGATGCTAGAAAGGCCAAAAAGGAGACAAATGATACATGAAAACAGACAGTGATAAAAGCACACTGGAATAATGTACTCAGGTGAACCATCTCACACTGCTGAAACAAAAATTCTACACTTACACAGGGCAAGCTGAGAGCTGAATGAATATCTAGCCAATTTAATAGAAAGTCTCTGATTGCATTAATGAGCTCTAGAAAGATGAAAAGTGATCTTGAGAAAATTCTGGTGAGTCAGCAGGATTCAAACCTTTCTGAATCAAATTCCCAGTCAGAGAAAAACACTGTTGCATAATTGCAGCAAAGCATCAACGACCCAATTTTCCCCAGAGCTGCATTTCAGGTACCAGAGCACCACTGACGCACCATGCTTCTGCTCTTCAACCAACAGTATGCTCCAACCTTTTTGCACTGATACATTGGACCACACCATATATAAACTTTCCTTTATTAAGTGCATTGATAGAACTGGCAGCCCTTAGAAAATAACTTTTTACCAGTGATGGACTTTCACCATAGCAGCTTACCATGCCAATCTCTTTCGTAACTCCTTCTCCATATCGAATGTTTGAAATGGCCATCTGTAAAAATTAAAAAGAACATTTCTTTTTCTCTACAAAAATGGCATCTGGCCCTATTCATTCAAAGTGAAATACAAATATTTGATAATGTAAATATTTATTAAATGCTGTATTTCTCAAGAAGTATTGTTTGTATGACTTTTAAATGAAACATATTTTATTATTAAATCTACCTCAAATGCATAGTCTGTGTTCCCCAGGGTGGGCCGTTCAGGAACTGAAATGGAAATAAAACAGCAGAATTAGGAAACAATAAGTTATTTCAATCTGTTTCTCAGCTCTAGAGTTGACAGATTCCTTGCTTTTAGAATCACTAACATATTTCCACAGGTTATCTCAGCTTGTCTGGATAACAGTTACCCATTTCATGCCTTGCTGTTCATGAGATTAAATGATCCAAGCACTTGATCTGACTCATATAATTCAAGAAAACAAGTGAGTTTTTCAAGTTCTTTCAAGAATTAAGTATTTTTTTTATAAAATCTGAATAAATTAGCAGGAAGGTTGCATGAGAGTTTGTTTGCAGTCTACAAAGAACGGCACATAAAAAAGTAGAACTGACTATGTAGAACTGAGTAGAGCACTCAGGCTGCTACAAGCTGAGAGGTGCTAGAAATGCTATAGGGGCTACATGATAACCTTCAGAACAACGTTTAAGACAAATTCATGAGACATCCTCTTTATGCACCTGGACAGAGAACACCTTATGTATGCATGGGAGCAATAATAACAGGTGTTTACACTTCTTTTTACTTCTCCCTAGTCCTGAACTTGCAGGTGAAACTGAATTATTTGCTAGAAAATTACCATGTGCACTGCTAATAATAAATAAGAATCAGTGTGTTACTATTAACTTTAATTAGAAGATATATTTAAGGACAGTATTTCAGAAGATATATTTAAGGACAGTATTTCAGTCATGGCTTCTCTCTGCTGTGTCATTTTTGCATGAATTATCACAAACTCAATTTCTGGCATATTCTGATTTTGCCATAGAGTGAAGCAAACTGCATCAACTGAAATTGCCCATTCTTCTCCACGAAAACACCAGGTAAAGCATTTTCTTCTCCTCCTGCTGGAGTCATGCATTACGTCTGCTATATTAATTGAAAATATGCAGTCTGGATTCTGATCCAATGAGTGAAGCCACGAAAATGAGGCTCACAGACACGCTGGGGTGCACTGAAGCACTGACCCACAACAGTAACAGATAGATGTATTAAAACCCTTTATGTACTTTCTATTCAAGCACAGGCCAGCTGCTATCAGCTCTTTCATTGCCACCTCTTGCCAGGCTGTATGTGTTTGACCTCTCCTGGAGCTGGAGTCTGCTGTATTTTCAGTCATTAATTTGACAGGCTAAGGACATGTCCAAACCATTTACTCTCTTGCTTTCTGATAGTACAATAGACACCCTGCTGTTACATTCTTGAACCAAACTTAACTTTCAGGGCGAATTTTACTGAGTTAAAAAATTGCACTATTTCCTTGAACACTGCCAAGAAACACAAAGAAGTTTGCTTTTTTTTCAGCTATAGTCACTGTTCAATCAATTTCCACTCAGATTTAGTGAACTGATATCATCTTGCTACGCTATAGAATCTATTGCTGCCTAAAACTTTCAGAGAGGGTTTTCTTAACTTAGGCTTCAGTTTAGCAAGAGCTTAGTTTGAATTGACTGAGTAGGTCATCAAGCAGACAAGCAAAAGAATGAAATTCTGTTTCTCAGATGCACTATTGTCTTGCTGTATGGATGGTCTTGGGCAAAACAATATAAATAGCTTTTCCATATGTAAAATGACAATGTCAATGCTTTAAGAAGTGTTCTAAGCATGTGAAACCATGCTACTTACACATTACTGAAATTATGGCACAAGCCACTAATATTTAGTGGATCTGGAGACTTACCAGCAATCTGGAGATTGACAGATAATTATTCTCCTAGCCTCCCTACAGTCCATGCAAACAGAAGCTCCTCCTAGGGTGACTTGGGTAAGTCAGTGCAGCTCCCCTGCTCACAGTCCCCAGTCCTGGCCTAAGTGAGCTGCATTCTTGGGACTGACCATATAAAAAGCCTATGGAGATTTTATTCCCCAGGCCAGCACGCACCTTTGTGAAAGGCTACTTTTTATCCATATCACTTCCTCTTTCTTTTCTGGTGCAACACGCATATCCAAAAGGAGACCTAAAGTTGAGGTGGTTCAGGTGATGACAGCCAGAGCAAAGTTCAGATCAGCTGGCCCCACGGTATGGGGAGGGAAGGGACAGGAGGCAGAAACTGTGGCTTATGTGGGAGCAGTGACTCTCTCCAACAATAACCACTACCATTGTACAGCTGCAAAATAACAGGCTGTTTACCTTCTCCTTTAGATTGTTCCTTCCAACCCGTTACCTGCACCCTCTGCCCAGGTTGCATGGATACATACAGCCCTCAGCAGGGCCATGGCCTCCTACAGAATTATTTTGGAGAAACAAATTCAGTCTTACCTTGGGAATAAGTGTGGCCATGGCTCGGGCACCGACAACTAGTTAAAACGTTAAAAAAAGGTATGGTTAAAAGGGGAAAACTAAAGCAGAAAACTAAAGCTTTACGACCTAAAAGTCTCCTGTAAGCACCCCTTGCAAGGGCCTGCGGCTGAGCCCGCCGGCGTGCAGCGGGAGCGGGCACGGCAGGGTCCGCAGGGGCGGAGCGGCCGCCGCTTTTCGCTTCCCAGCCGCGGCCCCGGCCCCGGGAGGGATCCCGGGAGGGATCCCCAGGGACCCCGCGCCCCGTCCCGCCGCACTCACGCTGCCCGCTGCAGCTGCCGCAGCAGGCGGGACACCCGCGCCCGCCCCGCCGCCATCGCCCGGATCTGCGGGCGGCCGCGGACGGGCCGGGCCGGGCCCCTCCTCCCGGGACAGCGCCGCTGCCCGGCCCGCACCCGGCACACGGGTGTTCAAACTGGAACTGCACGGGTCAGGCGAGGAGTGTCCGCAGTCAGCACCCCCAGCCCACGGTCCCCGCTGTCAGCACCCAGCTCACGCCTGTTTCAGGGCAAGCAAAATCTGTTTGCTAAAACAGCACAGAATGCCAGCGGAGAGCGACTAAAATCTCATTTAGGACTCATTAGGACTGAGTGTGTGTCGTGGATTTGCCACAGAAAAATATTGAAAGTAATGGAATTGCAAAGTGAAAAAAAAATTTAAAAAAACCCCATGAAATTAAGTGAACTACTTTTCTGACTTCAGCTGTGCCCAGTGACAGGATAAGCAGGAATGGTCATAAACTAAAACACAAGAAGAATGGTCTAAACTAAAACACAAGAGGAAGGGTCATAAACTAAAACACAAGAAGCTGCACCTCAGCATGAGGAATTTCTTCACACTGAGGGTGGCAGAGCACTGGAACAGGCTGCCCAGGGAAGTCGTGGAGTCTTCTCCCTCTGGAGACATTAAAAACCCACTGGACATGTTCCTGTGTCACCTGCTCTTGGTGACCCTGCCTTGGCAGGGGCCTTGGACAAGATGATCTCCAGAGGTCCCTTCCAACCATGACAATCCTGTAATTCTATGAAATCATGGAGAATTATAGTGCAGGATGGATCAAAATTTTATAACCAAATTTTTAAGCTGTAAGCTATGCTGCTTAGCTGCCAGCATAGCAGTATACTAGTACTGATCAAAGGAAACACTGGATTCTGACAAAAAGGCATCATTTTTCTAATGTAACAGATATAAGTGTTTTGCCTTTGCATACTCTTTATGTCTTACTAGATAATCTTTAAGTTCCCTTCCAACCCATACCATTCATTGATTCTATGAGCAGATCAGATGAGCCCAAAACTCAGGATTTTGCAAGGTGCTGAGCTTGGGAAAGCAGGTTAATGGCCTGCTCAGGCCCCTACGTGAAGCTGCAAAACCTTTATCCACCTGTGAGAGCCAAAAAGTGGCAACACCACAGGAGCACCTGCACCTCTACTCAGGTGACCACTTTGCTGCTGGAGATGAACACACTTCATGGGATTTTGGTGGAGAAAATTGACCATTAGCCTTGTGAGCAGCACAGAATTCTCATCAGGTGTGTATTTGTATGGGAGAAGAGCCCTTCTCTCTGGCTGAGCATGTACCAGGTGTGCCCTATGGAAATGCCTGGAAGATCAGAGGTCTGGAATGTCTCTCTGAAACAACCTTTTCCATCCATCCACATGTTATTTTCCCCTGCTTTGCCTTGATACTTACACTGAAGGGTTGATAACAGAGGGTTGTGCCCACAAGACCATTCCTGCCACTGACAAGTCCAAAGCAGCCTGCAGTGCTGCAGGTGCCTCAGCACATGGGCAAGAAGCACTAGAGAGGCAAAGAACACACCTTGTGCAAGGCCCATAGGCTGGGCAGCGGTCAGTCCATCAATGCCATCCAAGCTCTGAGGTGTACAAACCCCTTCTGCCCTCAGCACTCCCCTACACAAAGGTTTGGCTTTCTGATGCTTTTTACTGAAGCTGACATCCTAAGTGAAGTGCTACAGAACAAGAAGAAAACTGCTTAAGTCACCCAGCTTTTTCAAAATCTCGCAGTGAGGCATTACAATATCATTAACCACCAAAAAACTCCAAGTTTGAACACCTAATTTATCTGAGATTACTGAAACTTGCTTTAATAACTTTCTTACCAGGGAACAGCGTTTCCCCTGTAGCTAAGCCACACATTGAGACAGCAGATTTTTTTCCCCTTATTTCAAGTGTACATGTGACACTACAAAGTTCAAGAGTAATGGGAAGAAGTCTGAGAGAATTCCTACTACCTGCTCTCAAACTGCTAGGTAAACTCTGTAAGATTATTTCTATAAAATGATGGATTACTGTTGCTACAGGAAGAAATTTAGGTTTTAACCTGTACAACAATACAAACATTTTTCTGCTGAACTCAATGGCTGGTCAGCAGCTTTGACTTCCTTTTTTCATCAACAAAATGCTGTAGACAATCTGTACAATTTCTTAGGCGCTGGAATAAATCTTACAGTAAGTTTCCATGTTCCTTTTGTAACTGAACCTGAATACCACAGAGCTGAGCGGCAGAAGTTGACTTACAGAGCAAGAGCTCCACCGTCAGGCCACTTGCGCAGGGCAGCACATCCTTTAACTGCATCTGTGGCTGCTACTCCATCAAAACCCCAGGTCACATCTGCGGTCCAGTCCCAGCTACCTGAAAACAGCTTTGCTCAGCTTTTGTCCTGGCAGAGATGCTGCAGGGCAACTGTGAAGCAACATTACCTGTGAAAAAAGTCACTGTGACACCCCCAGACTGGGGGGAACCGGGGATCCCGACCCCCTTGGATGGAGAACACAGCCCTCCTTGTCTACCAGCTAAGAGCCAAACGCAGGATGTTTTAGAAAGATCAGAACGCATTTATTGGCAGATACGTGTGTAAACAGAGCACCGGGCAGGAGGCTGGCAGCGGCAGTCCCTTCCCACGCCTCGGTGGGCATCCCCAGCCGGTGCTGCACACTGTCCCTCACGCTTTCTTCCTCCTGGCCCCGCCGGTGCCACCGCCCGCAGGTTTCTGCGGCTGCCGCCGGGCTCCGCTCTTCTTGCCGCTGCGCCCAGGCCGCTGCTGCCGGCGGCCGCGCTTGCCCCGCTTCGACTGCTTCTTGCCCTTGTTGGCAGCGGCCGCCTCGGCCTCCTCCTGCCGCAGCTGCTTGTTGACGGCGCGGGTGATGTCGAGCACCGGCTTCTTTTTGCCCATGTCCCGCAGCAGCTCCAGCTGCCGGCTGCGCTCGGCCGCCAGGTTGCCCAGCAGCGGCTCGAAGCGGCGCTTCTTGCCGCCGCTGCGGGAGGGCGGCTCCGCCGACTCCTTGGGCAGGCGCGGCTGGAAGCGGCCGAGCGAGGCGGTGGAGACGCGGGCCACGCGGGCCACCCGGCGCAGCTCGTCGCGGTCCTGGTGGCCGGTGGGGTGCAGGGGCGCGGCGGGCACGGCGCTCCCGGCGCGGTGCGCTCGGGCCAGGTTGCGCAGCCGGTTCAGCTCGTTGCGAGCCACCCGCTCCCGCTTCTCCCGCCGCAGCCGGGCGAACTGGTCCTCCTCGGGGTCGGCGCCCGCCGGCACCTCCGCCAGCCAGGCGCGGGACGGGTCTCCGCCCGCCCGCCGGTAGCCCCAGCGCCGCCGCCACTCCTTGGCCTGCTCGTCCCACACCAGCGAGGTTTTCTTCTTGCGGCGGATGCCCTTCAGCCGCGCGAACTGCTCCCAGCGCGTCGGCGGCCGCGGCTTCGGCGGCGGCTTCTCCCGCGGCAGGCGGAACGTGGGCTCGGGCAGCTGCGCCACCAGCGGGCCCCCGGCGCCGCCGGCGCGCTCGGCCGGCAGCTCCCAGAGCCGGGACACGAGCAGCTGCGTGTTGTCGCGGGCCAGCGCCCGCAGCAGCGCCTCCCGCCGCGGGCCGGCCCCGCGCAGCGCCGCCGCCGGCGGGGGGTTGCGGTCCACGGCCAGCAAATTGCCCAGGTCGTACTCCAGCTCCAGCTCCTTTTCCACCGTGATGCTCCGCCGCTTCTCCGCCTCCTGCTCCTCGGCGGCCGCCAGCACCGCTTCCACCCGCACGGCCGCCATGGCAGCGGCTCCACGTGCGAGCAGCGCCGCCGCTGCCCCGGAGTGCGGCAAAGCTCCGCCGGGTCAGCGCGCCGGAACCGCCGGGCCCGGAGCCGCCGTGCCCTGGGGGCGGGACGGGCGCAATGCCCGCCGGGAGATGTAGTCCCGTCGCGCCGGCCGCCAGAGGGAGCCATGGCTCCCCGCAGACCCGCCCGGGCCCGCGGCTGCCGGACCCGCGGTGTGCCAGAGGAGCCGTGGTCTGTCAGGGGTCCCGCCGCCATGGCTTAGGGGCATGCGCTTCCAGTCTCAGAATCACAGAATCAATTCGGCTCGAAAAGCCCTCTGAGGACGTCAAGTCCACACTGTGACCAAACATCACCATGTCAGCTAGACCAAGAAACTGAATGCCGTGTCCAGTCTTTCATTAAAAATCTTTAGGGACAGTGACTCCACCACCTCCCTAGGCAGCCCATTCCAGCGTTTAATCACCCTTTCTGTGGAGAAATTATTTCTAATACTCAACCTGAACCTCCCCTGGTGCAGTTCAAGATTATATCCTCTTGTCCTGTCACTATTGCCTGGCAGAAGAGGCCAAACCCTACCTGCTACAACCTCCTTTTGCCTAGTTGTAGAGAGGGATAAGATCACTCCTGAGCCTCTTCTTGTCCAAAACAACCACGGCTCCCTTGGCCGCTCCTCATGGGACTTCACCTTCTGCACCCTTCAGCTATGATACTGATGATCACCAAGGACACTGATGAAATCCCCAGTGACCCCCAGGCTGGGCTTGTGTGGGGTTCAGGGGAGCCCCAAATCGGTCTCCTGCTGCCACCCTGAGTGGTGCTGAGGTGGAGCATACCTGGGAAGACTCAGGACATGAGGGGAGGCAAATGCCAAAAGCAGAGTGGTGGGACCATTGTAGAGTCAATGGGGCTCTGCAGCTTCCCTTTCCTTTGCCTGCGGTAAGGATGTGCTGTGGCATCCAAACACTGAGACTGTGACACAGGAACATATATATTTTTCCCTTTTTTTTTTTTTTTTTTTTTTTTTTTTTTGTGTGTGCTCCTTGCAGGATCAAAATTCAAGTGCTGTATGCAGCTCCACCGAGACTGACAGAGGTGTTGTGGATAAATCTGCCCGCAGAAAAGGGAGGGGAGGAACAGCATTTGGGAAGCAGTATCATCTGGCAGATGTCTGAACAGACATAAGTGAGGTGATTGGGGTGACATGGTGTGCTCCTAAAGGTCAGCTGGGTCACAGATACCGCCATGCTATTTTTAAACAAATGGGCTACAGAAGAATCCTTTTATAGCTATAC